TCTCATCTTGACTGAACTACAGCAGAATGACAATAAACCTGATTTGATTTGATAAGAGAAGAAACTAGTCATAGTGTCATGTCACCTGTTCAGGAGGATTTAAGAGATTAGATTTACATTCTGAACTTGACATACAACATATATATATAGATGTTTTGCTTAGTATGCAAAAAATCATCCATTATGCATTTTATAATGAAGCAGTAATAATGTTTTTCTATGATATAAATAACTCTGTCCCTGGAGTTTATCGCAGCACTGTCCACATGAGCAGCTCCTGCTCATTTATTAGGTTTTTACTGCACATGTTGTCATGTTTAAATATGCAACGTTGGGTTAATTTCCACTGTGGAGGCAGTTCATGCTCAAAACGTACAAATAATTAGTGATATAGAGACACAGAGGAGGCCCTTGGTGGCTCTGTTGTGGTAAAGGTTGGATCTATTTGCATAGTTTAGAAAGTAGAAAACCATTCAGTCGATATATCAACACGGACGCCTCCATCCACTGAAACCACTTAGACTGTACGTGGCCACATCCAGAAGACACCAACTGATGGTGAAACATCACTAAAACGCCAACATGTCTTCTGGTGGCTAATCATCTCCTCTTTTCAAAGCCAAGTTCACACAAACACTCTGAGGCTCTTAATTCTCCACGATGGCTTTTAATTATTTCCTCTGAGACGGGAGTTTTTGTGTAGTAATACAGGTTTCTGTAAAGTATCAAAAACAGATTCAGGAGATTAGTGTTCGTTAATTAAACAGAGAAAAGCAGTGTGGTAGCAGCACAGAGCTGATCGGTGTCAAACACCACTCATGAAAGACAAATATTTGATCTGGTGTCCTTGTGAAGTGGAGGCCCTTCAAGGTACGCTCATATTCATTTATTGCGAGTGTGAGCTGTTTAAAATTGCATATGTTCTTTAGAAGTTAATACATACACTTGCTGCTGGTTAATTAATTATTCTGACCTTTACATAAACCAGAGACGCATCTAATTAAAGGGGCTTTGTGAACAATAAGAATATTCTATATGGGAAATCTCTCTCTCAGCGTCTCTGCCAGCGTCTTCCTTCTGGGCATCCCTGGTTTGTATTTTCTCATTCTTGTAGTAAATAAAGACTCTTTGTGCTGCTGCTTGTGACTGCTATCTCACTACACTCAGGATCCGCCCAACACGAGCCATAAATTATGAAACCAAACAGTAAAACTTTACATTTGATGAACTCCAGATTGTGCTTGCAGCAGCTCCCAAACAATAGATTCCTAATTAGAGTTGCCTTAGCATGACGCAGCTCTGGGATTTGTCACGCTGAGGTGAACTCTAATTGGGAAAGATGATTGAGTTGCTGCTTGGAAATGAGAAAAAAAGTTATGCAAATTGATGAATCTCGACTCGCGAGGTGCTGACAGTCGTCCAACGCTGACTCCTGACTGGAGGATCATGGGATTTAATAAACCTGACTGGAAATGACAGTTTCAGGTCAGAGAAACTTTTGTAAGAAATTTCTCGCGTCCACTAATGAAGACCTGAGACGTGTCATCGAGATATTTAGACCCAAAGACAAACGATCTGGACATATTATCATCTTCTTAAACAAACTCCTGCTAATTTTCTCTTGCAGCCTTGGAACAGCACCAAATATACGACTCGCCTCTTTCATGTTTATCTCCCACCCACTTTTCTCATCGCTTCTTCTAAAGCAACCGTCCAAGGAGACAGTCGTCTGGAATCCAAGGATAAGTCATTATTTTCTCGTTCTGCCGCTTCGCTAATTGCTATTGTTGCCATCCCATTGGCTGACAGCACTGAGCGAAGTAGAGCTTCCTCCAAATGCTGCCTGCTCTCTATTCTTTGTCCATCACTCCCCGACCATCAAACACATGAACTTCTTTTCTCTCGGCGTGATTCAGTGTTTTCTTCTCCCACCTTTTGTTCCTTTTCTCTGCCTCAGTCAGCTACTTCACAAGATGACTCCACAATGCCTACAGCTTCTGGGATTACACAACTTTTATGTTTATTGACTTAAGCTGTCCCTGGTTGAGCTGGTGTGTGTTATCCAGGACATTGTAAGGGCTAATTTAGCGTCGACAGATGCAGCATCTGTCTAATTAGAATGTTAATTGATGTTAAGTTGAATGATTACTAATCACACATGAGTCATAGCTTTGTGAAATAACCTCCTTGTGTCCTTGAAGAAACAGTAGAATGACTCCAGACCACAGAAACATGTAAATGTGATGGCTTAAAGGCAAACGTTTCAGCAGATAAACATATAGCTGCAGTCATGTTGGGTCTCCTTCTGCACATCAGGTCATTTCTGCACCTCATTCTAACTGACTGGAGCTTCTTTGTAGTGAATCAGCATCAGTTGGTTGTAGTTTGTGTCTTTTTAAGGTGGCCATGACACCTTTATCTGACAGCAACAGTGAAAAGAGTGTGAAGGTGAAATCACAGGTTGATTGTTGCTTCTAATAATGGAGATGTGCCTCACATTAAGGGACACATAAGTTCTCAGGTTCGGTCAGTTTTGAAGTTTCAGTCTGAAGATGCTCCTTGGTCAACTTTGTCGAATGTTACTGAGGCTACAGGTCCTTTTAGAGAGATGCTTTAGTCTCGTCTATAGGAAGAGGTTCTGTCTAAAGATTGTAGGACTTTAACACGGTGTGGAAAACCACACGATAAGGTTTTAACTTACAACCTATTTACAATGAGCCAGTAGGAAAAGAGTTTGTGTTCACTGTCAATCTATAAATAAGTTGTCATTGTTCTTCTTCTTTGGAGGAAAGAGGAGTTACGTTTGTTCCCGTTTGCAGAGATGTCCTGTGTCTACATATTAAATCTGCCAATGACCAGCAAAGTGTTTGGTGTTTTCTGAGATTAATGATCACAGCAATATTTAGAGAAAGACGGGCAAAGGGAGCAGAGGAAAGCATCAAGTGGTAGATCCATATGTTTGACTGGACCTGGAGGACTCCCTGTTTGGGGTATTTACACCCACATGGTTTACGCCCCAACAACTCATCCCGTAGACGGAGTGGTTTTTGGCCCAAGTCAGTCTTGAAAATAGTCCAGAATGGAAGCTGGCTATCCATCAGCAGCCAGCAAGACCATCTGACAGATGGACACATTTCACATCCCAGCAGTAATTTACTCCGAGCTAACACATGTCAGCCACAAAAAAAAAAAAAAACCTTCTAAAAAATCAACTTGACAAACTTGTTTCTAACATATCGCCAAATGTAGAGCGGAACACATGACTAACTGAAGTTTCTGTTACTCCTGAGTTCAAAAAAGGAAGCACCTCTTCAGTAGTGTTAGTACTGAGTCCAAAAAAGAATATCCCATAATGCCATGCAGTTGTATTTGAATGGTTCCTTCAAAGGGCACAAGCTGAAGCTCTCAGCTGAGGATGGACATCTAGGAATCAGATCTATTGTTTTCAAACTGCTGCCATTTTGATCATTTATCACCAAAGATGTATCCTCGTAGGAACAAACAACAAACTTGTTCTCATAGTTTAATCGTAGAAACTGGACCTGCTTGAGTTCCTTGAAGACGTTCCACCTTCATCCAGGAGGCTTCATCAGCTCTGACTGACTAGTTGGGAGTTCCACATCCTGAGATCCTGAAGGAGCCTTAAGGATCCCTTGATGAAGCCTCTTGGATGAGAGGTGGAACGTCTTCAAGAAACTCAAGGAAATCCAGCTGCTACGATTAAACTACCAGAATAACCACGACCTGGATGACTGAGAATCCTCACAGACAACAAACTTGATCTCATCTTGTTCTCAGGATAACAGAGGTTTCTTGTTGTACCCTTGAAATGCATTATGGTGCAAATGCTCCTTTCATATCATGGCATTACAGTATGATGTGACTCTTTGTGATGGACCCAAGAAATAAAACTGAAATACCTCAAAATAATGTGGCATAAATGGCTTAATCGATATCTTTATCATTCATTTCTACCTGCTGCAGATATAAGATGTGTTGGTTGTTATGAACCATCCCAGCACCAGAGTCTGCACAAGACAGTTTCCTGTGTGTCCATTAGTTTATCCCATGTTGCCGTGCGTCACTGTGACTGGCTCAGTTGTTGAAATACGAGTGAATATCTTAATGACTGCATGGTCTGCACACCCCAAACCCACAGCTCTGCACTTGTCATTCTGGTTTGAACCCAGGCCTCTCTCTCCATCAGCGTCTCTTACCAGTGGGAAGGCGTGGGAGATCTTGCCGTCTGGGGGAAGTTTAGCTCCGAAGCCGTACGCTGGGAAGAGTTTGTCGCTGTCGTAGTCCTGAACGATCTCCCCAACAGCCTTCAGGGCCATGGCGTACGCATTCATCTGGTACGGACTCATGTAGTGCAGGGACGTGGGCTGGGACGGGTTACCTACCAAGGCATGCAATTAAGGTACACTTATTTAGGCCGTGATTAATATGATTATGATGATGATGGTGATGATGGTGATGATGATTGCAGGAGTGAAGACAGTTGCGCAGGAGGCCAATTACCACCTCCAGCACTAAAAGAACCAGTGATTTATGAACAAAAACAAACAGAAGCGTTCATGTACAGCAGAAGTTCTAAGAAGGACAGAAGCTTAACTTGACTTTTTTCATAATTTTTTTTCTGGTCATAATTTAGAATCCTGTTTGATGTCACCCAATGAGATGAAATATTCTAGATTTTCAAAAAAACTTAATCTGCAACCACATAAAAACAGTAAAAGCTATCAAAACACAGATTCAAATCAATCCCATTCAAAGCCTTGTGACCTGTTTAAACCTTAAATGAAGTCTCTACTGTTGAATATGTCGGAGCTACAGGGTTCCAAAGACAGCTAATGTCCACCAGCCATTGCATTGAAGTGATGGTGTAAGAAGTCCTCTGATCTTTTAGTGAAATTAAAGCATTTAAAATACTCCAATATTGGCTAAAGACCAGCATGTGTGAGTGAAATATTATCAAATGTACTTAAAATATCAAAAATAAAACCACACATGATGGTATAAATGGCATATGTGATGGATATAGTATTAAATATAATAATATTGTGCATCATTAGTAGGATTGTTCTTTGCTGTTAACAACCTCATTAACAAGCTTGCTAAAATAAAAACACTGATGTATGGACTTTCTCTGTTTTAGCTTCATGACCTTGAAGCTAATTCTGGTTCAGTTACTTTGACAAAAGTCACTTTCTTGTTTAATTATATCTCTGGTACGTCCTGCATACATTATCGATTACTGTTCTTTACCATCACTTTGCTGTTACCAGTGAAGGTAACTCGATTACAGTATTTCAAACTAACTAAAATCTGCATTAAGGGGCTGATAGCTACAGCATCAGCTTTCAGCCACAACCAATAAAATATTTGTCACCATTGATATTATGTGCTTTAAAAAAACACTTAGTTTGGGACAAAGGACACATTTCTTCTTCTTTTCATTGACTGCCACGTGACACAGACGTGCACACTGCGTTCAAATGTTTAAAAACTGCAAAGGTTTTGCAAACTGAGTGCCTTTATTCTGATGACTCGTGGGGAACCGAACAACACACGATCCCACTCGGCTAAAACCAACAACTAATCGTATTATGCGTCAATGGCATGTTGTTAAAATATGACAAAGCACTTTCCTTCCTCAGCCCCAGAGAGGAGAACAGAAAGTAAAAGTAAAAGCTGACAATAAAGAGAAGTTACAGGTAAAACATTTCACTGAGCAGCAGACGTGTGAAGATGAAATGCTTTCTTACCGTTGGATGCTGTGAAGTCTATGGCCACGGTGAAGTTGAGTTGCGTCCTGGTGAGAGATTGAGCACATCAGTATGATCAGAGCGGAGACGTTGGAGCTGCAACACGTTTACAGCTGTTCAGGCTGGACTCAGAAACTCATCACTGCTCACTGCTGTCATTCATAAAGCACGAGGCCGGAGATCTAACAACACACGGCCACTAGCAGCGCTTTCACATTGTTTACTGTCCTGTGCTGATGTTCAGCATTAAAGTGTGCACGCTTTGGGGAGACAAACTGAAGGCATGGGTTAGAGTTTTGAACGCGTGTCTTGCTTTGCAGGCAGCCACTGATTTCAGAACAGAATAAAAAAAAAGCTTTCAGATCAACTTACAGACGCTCACAACTGCTCTCTGTGTCTGAAATGGTTCAGTTATTAATATTTTTCACATTTCTGTCGACTTCAGTTAACCATCTGATCATTTCTGGAGCTTCTATTTACCAACATGAAAGCTGAAATGCTTTTCAAACACACAAAAACAAGAACTTCCTCCATAACTACAGAATGCTCTCCAGGCTCTGAAATGCTTTCAAAATAAATACATGAATACACACAAAACACAAAACATATAAAAGCAAAAAAGGCAGCAGCCATTAATATCTTTGAAGTTTGATGTAACTAATAAATATCAGCAGAAGTCTGATGTTAGAACCTGTCACACCTTTGCTTATGACACTGACATGTTTCAGGCTTTTTACCCTCAATTTAGTAAAAACATACCAGCAACAATTAGCTGAAGTGGAATCTAGTTTAACAAACATTTTTTTTTCTTTACATTTGAATGAGTTTTAATGCTTAAAACAGCAACAACTGACTGTCAGTTTAAAAGAGATAATGAGCTGTTCTCCCATCCATCCACCCCGACCTCCTCCCTGTGAGGACTCCAACAGCTTCATCTCACCTGATCCTAAACCCTACAGGAGCTACGTCATGTTGGATTTTGCCTTTGCTGTAAGGGTTGATGCCGTCTCACACAACCAGTAAAACTTCTTATGGCAATAATCTGCTTGAACAATAACTTGTGTTGTTGTTATTTACTGGACCATCTGTGAAGCTTCCAGGATGCCATGATGTTGAATTTGCCCCTTTTTGTGTGATAGAGACAAAAAAAAGACAAAATAAACATCAGCTCATCAAATGTTTTGACATCATGACTCAGTTTCCCAATTTTAAGGAGTCAGCTTGAGAAATTTTCTGAGAATTGTGAATTCAGATTGTTTTGTTTTATGACTTAACTTTATTTTTTGAATAAAATGTACAACGGCGAAAAAAGAAATAAAAAAACCCTATTTATATGGTTCTTTTGAGCTGGTGTGGAAGCTGTTAGTCCAGCATTTCAGAGCAGAAAGCACATGTTCACAAGTTTGAAACCTCATTTTATAAACTTGGAGATTTTTCTGCAAAACCATAAATCGGCCTGAAGCCAGTTTTCTGAAGGAAGGAACTGATTTCCAAGAAAGAAAGAAAGAAAAACTTCTACAAAGGTGTAATTTAATGTGCAGAGACGAGCTTTTAGGGGATAAATAATTAATGACTGCAGATGGACCTTAATGACTTCCCCCAGACGATGCAGTTTAAACACCAAGTTTCAGAATATAAGTCGTGTATCTATTTATTGCATGCATTGATTTTTACAGTCAATTTAAAGCCCCAGTCGGCGACAACAACACACTGCTGAGCACTTACCCTCCTCTGATGAAGTCCACAAACGTGCATTCTGACTCCACTTTGAACGACAGCAGAGTCACCTTGAAGATGTCCAAACGGTGAATAAAGGAAAATAAAAAAACAACAACAACAAAAGAAGAGAAACGGTGGATCACATGGAGGCTCGTAGCAACACCGTCGCTTTACTGTTCTGCTGTGAGTCATGAAACATGTGACGGCTGCTGATCAAACACTGAGACGCGTCTTACCGTCCCTGAATTCACGTATTTCTTCTTCTTGCCTTTCTTTTTGGGATTCAGAACCTTAACCACAAGATAGAAAACAAGAAGTGAGTGTTTTTAACAACCATGTCTGAGCCTCTCGGTACGTTCCTGAGCTCCTGTGGGTGGACGTCGATAACATATTGTCCTCAGACGAAAGCAGGAATTCATAACACAAGAAATATTACTTAAATGAATAATATATAAGACTGTCAAGGAACTATTGATGTGGCTCCAAGTTCCCAAAACATTGTTAAATTTTGATATTCCCTACGCGCTCAGAAAAGTAAAGTTTGGGAGACAATCTTTGATGATTCCATATTAATTATTTGCAGATCCAAGCTGTTCAACTTTTTTTTTTAACATTTCTTTTTGCTGTATTTTACCTCGTAGACGTTAAACTGGCTTTGGCCTCTGGATAGTTCTCTGTAGCTGGTGGTGAACTCTCCGATGAAGTCATGACTAGAAGAAAGAAATGGAAACTGTTAGAGCGGCACGCTTGCATCATCATCTTCTGTCTGATATTTAGTCGTTTGCACAGCTTCGGTGCAGCTCATGGTGTTGATCAGTCGATTGGCTTCATGCAACAAAAAGAAACCAGCATCCTTTAGTTACACAGGGCAGAAAGAGTCTGATTAGTGGTGGAAAACAAGATTTAAATCTAAGAACATTGGCCCTACATGGACACAAGCCTCCGAGGCGAGGGTCCAGCGCTTCCTTCTCCTTCAGTCTTTGTGGGTCTTTCCAACTGGAAGCCTTTTCTACAGAAAATCTTTAAAAGGAAATGATGTTTTCTTTTTCAAAACTTAAATGAAAATGCAGCTCAGTTGTGGAGGAACTGAACTCTGTAGAGACAGGTTTGGGTTCATGAGAGCTGTGAGACTGAATCAAAACGGTGAAGCTGTTAGCCGTTACAGCCGATGCTAAGCCGGGTTTATTAGTGACTCCTTTTACATTTCACATCGTCATTTCATCCAGTGTTGATATAAAAACATTGATTAGTGCAGCTTCAACTTTCGATGTCTGACCTGTGTGGCTGTATCTGTTCTATAAGTGTAATTAAAGACAGTTAAATGATCAACGCAGTGGGAAGCTGGACAGGCACGTCACAGTCAGTGAAGACGTTGGCGAGCACTACGGTGGTACCATCGTACAGCTGTTAGAACGACATTTATGGACATTTTTTTTTGTGAAAATTTAAAGTAAATACCGTGAAATTTAAAGGGAATAATTCAGGGAGTGCTGCCATTGCATAAAAATAAACACAATTATGATTCCATTCCTCTTGTTAATTAAAATCAAAGAGGTCTTTGGGTTAAAATGTATGCAGATAATTTATTCGACCTTAAAGCAGGATGTCAGCATGTCTCTCATGTTATAATCCAGGTTTCTGTTTTGGATGAGGACTAACTGTGTGTCTCTCAGATTGTGACATAATCAACTGAAGACTAAATATAATGTAAATACTAGTTGACTGAGGTCATCTATTAATCGAACGGCAGCCTGTCTAATTCATAACAAAGCAACATTTTAATTTGCATGTAATTTCATTACTTTCCCAGGGCATGGCCGCCGCACTTCATCATTGTCACAACGGAAATATGGCCATTAAATCTTTCTTTCTCTTGAGAGAAGGCCTCAGAGGAGCGAGTTCAGCACATCGTTTTTCATGTAAACAAGAAAATATCCCCTCCAGCCACATTGGACTGGTAAATATCATCTCTCTGCATGCCCCTAGATCATCTCCACGTCTCAATATATCACCACCTGAAGCTGTGCGTGACACCGCCGCTGCCTCTGTAATACTGGTATTTAGAGGAGAATCCTTAAGGAGCCAACAACGAGCTCGTCTCCCAGCAGGGAAATAAGGAGGACAAAATATAACCGGGGGAAAAAATCACAAAAGAGAAAACACAGGAGACATTTCAGCCAAAACAGGAAAAGGAAAGCAGGAGAAACACAAGCAGAGCATGTTTCAGACAGACTGCAGTGTTTGTTCATGTAGTTTAAGGTTAAAGGAAACAATGTGAGGTGATCATTTACTGCAGCCACTGATGGTAGAATAAAACGTAGTGTTGTTGTTATTTGGCTTCCTGCTGCTGTGGTTTAACAGCTCAGCAGAAACATCTCCCTCATAAAGAGCTCATTTGCAAAAACAAAAAACGGCATTTTTGTAGATTTTCAGAAAACTTATTTTTTTGTTGTTTGCTTGAGATGAAATCAAACTGAAGATGAGTGGATCTGACTCAGTACGAATGACAAAAACAGAGATAACTGAAGTTTGACTGATGATGTCTCAGGTAGACGATGGAGAAGTGGCTTTTCTGAAGGTTTGTGAAGGTGGAGTTCTCTGTTTTAGTATGTGTGTGACATGAAAATAAACGGATCAGACTTCTGCAGTAAAACAACATCCAGCTGTGATGAAGCTCATGACTGATGATTTAACTTCAATTTATAAACCAGGACTGAAAAAACAGTGATATGCTGTTCAATCCTGTCTCCATGTCAGGGATCACTTATAACACTGGGTTACAAAACAATACTTTTTTGAAGGTATCTAGGATTTTTAAAACTGGTTTAGGACATTTTTGCAGCCCTGAATCCAAACATGACGTCTGCGTTTCTGTATCAGGTCACGTTTTTATGCCAACTCGATTTTAAAAAATTGATTTTACCACTAAATCGATGACATGTTTTGACGTTAGCAATTAATTTATTTTAGTATTTCTCACATGAACTTGGATTTTAGAGGAAAACATCATGTTCTAAACCTTTTCATGAGCTAAATGATCCACAACTTGATGAGCGTAAACATCTGTAAAGGTAAATACGAGTAAACTGCATGTTTCATCAAATCAAAATGTTGACCTCATTGAGCAAAACCAAGTTCAGATTTGGATTCAGCTTGGATGCTTGGATCCTCACTGGAAAGACTCTACAAACAGCCGGCAGCAACAAACCAAGCTCCTCCAAAGTTTGGATTACATTCACACTTCTTGCATCTCATTAGTCTGATCCTTTATAGCCTCTGTCTTCATCACAACTTTGTATTTAAATGGACATTTCAGTTTGTAATAGATGCAAAAATTAGAGCAAAGCTACATGAAAGGTGTGTGTGTGCTTCCTGTAGCGCTGGACGGCTTCACAGCCAGCTCGCTGATGCTACACAAAGCTGGCACATCTTCTGATGCTGCTTTCACTTGCTGTGGGACTCAGTGAAACCTCTGGATGGAGTCCGCTGGGGGCACCGCTGGTTCAGAACACTTCATTACTTAATTATTGATTCATCTGATGTTATAAAATCAGACTGAGGCCCACTGAGGCTGTAAATGCACAGGCCAAGACTATTGTGCTGCACAGTCTGCTAGCTATGGACCACTTTGCTTTTTATTTCCAGCTTCATGTCAAAGCGTCCTCTCTTTGTTCCCGTCACAGTGCAGCGCTGCTCCGATGACACATTGTTGGCAGCTGTAATATTTTCTGTTCAGAAAACATTCCTACCAACAAAGTGGTCGTCTAATACAACTACTGACGCTGCTAAATCTGTCCTGTTTTGTCTGCTGATTTCCAGCAGCAGTGTGAAAAAGTTTTGCTCTTTTAATACCGTTTCTCTGACTGACACATCCTCCCCGGCGCTGTGATTACAGAGCAGCTCTTTTTGTCACAATCTTAAAGTTAAGGCCTGAAATCTTTGATTAAGGCTCATTGTCAAAATAAACATCCAGTTCCATCGATGTCCCAGAAAGACGAAACAGAATCGAGTGTCAGACCGTAAGGAAAGGAACCGACTGTGAATTAAGATGCCCGTCAGGCTGATGTGCTTTGATGGAACCCTGGAAGACAAACATTTACCTTAGCAGAAAACTGGGACTGAGGATTTATAAGAAATACCACAAGGACTTCAAATGGAGCTGAAATGTATATAAAGCAGCAACAGCCTGATGAATCCCAGGAGTTTTCCAATTAAATCCACAAATCTGTGAGCAGGGCTCTTACAGCGAGGGAGAAGCCTCCTAAACCCCGACCTCCTGTCCACTCAGCAGCAACCTTTCACCTGCAAACTGTGATTCATGGCCCAGCATGTGGCGGTGGGCGGAGCCACCCATCTGTTTCCATAAGACGCTCTGAGCCAGACAGGATAAGGTGTGACATTTGAAGGAGTCCATGTGGAGCCGAACATGAAATGAAAGAAGAAAAGAAATAACGAGCGAGCGAGCTCACCTCCCGTCTCTGTCCCAGTCGTAAACGTCCACCTTGACCGTTCTGGAAGGAGGTGAGATGAAGAAGAGGAGGTGAGACAGATGGAGGTGAGATTCACAGAGAGGGAAGCTGAGACAAGAAGCTTTTCTTCAAAGGATGTTGAACATTTGCTTTGGCAGAGATCGATATACAGAATACAACAGCAGTGAGTAGTACTGCAGCATCATGTAACCAGTACGTTAAAACACCCTAAACGTCGTGTTCTAGCCTGAAATGTGATGAATTCTCCTAAAGTGACACAAAAATGAAAAATACATTTAACTTTTTCTTCTAATTGTGCTAAAACATTTTACACACTGAGGTAGTTTCGGGTTAAATGTGATTTATTTCTACCAGTGTGGGTCAAATCGAGGACAGTTGTGGTTTCAGGGAATCTTGAAGCTGTGAAACTGTGCAGGCCGTGTTTTATGTGTATTTTTTATTTACATTTATTAACGTGACATCGGCTTTGTAGACATTCTAAATAGATCTGTAGTTTAAAGTTTGGTATGGACACTATCTGCACTGATTCTTCACAGCATGGTCAGAATGTGTGAAGGCATAAACTATGAACAGTATTGTTATGATCCAGCCTGTAGGCTCAGCTGGATGTAAGCCACAGGGTGGAACAAGTACGTTAAGGTAAAAAGCTCAGATGATTCAAACATGTGACCTCTTACAGCGACGGCATTATTTCTAAGCTAAACAGAAGCTATCACCAACTATGGACAATTTAAAGATGACAGTATATATTTAAAATATTAAAAACACAGGCCCCACAGTGGTAGCAGTCACAGTTTTCTGGTGATTTAGATGGCTGTCATGCAGAAACGTCCCTTTTCGGTCGAGCTCCTGCAGACTGGGAGTCATCCAGTTCTTTGGTTTATCCACAGACGTTAGCGCTGCACCTCCTGAACACCTTCTGCTCTCATGCAGCTCCGTGTCACTGCACTCCAACGTCTGTGCTTCTCTGTTCAGTCTCTGTGTTTACTTGAGCAGCTCTGGTCATATTCAGGGCACAAAGAACGTGCTCACAATATTCATCAGGCTTCTTCTTCTTATGCTCTATATCCAAGTGTTGAGTATTTTTACTGAACGCCGTCCATGTAGGTTACTGAGGTGATACGTATTCACAAGGATGTAGGTCCAAGTCATGAATAAAGCTAAAGGTTAGACTTATAATATATGCAATAACACAGACACATGAGTGTGTTTCCTGCTGCGTTGCTCCCATGTTAGTCTCAATAACACCAGCACTGGCCTGAGACTGACTGCACGGCCGACTGCTGGCATTATTCTGACCACCACAGAGTCTCACATCGACTCCATCCTGCCTCTGTTCTTATGTATTCAGTGATCGCTGTCACTTTTTCTGCAAAAGAGAAAATTAGCAGTTAGAACAAACTTTTCCAGCTCTGTTCTGTCCCCTCACCTGTCATAGTCTCCGTTACAAAGCGCTCGGACCGGGATGGTGAAGGACTGCCAGACGGGGTTCAGATTGTTCTTGATCACTTCGGTCTTGTGGCAGATGGTGAAGCTGGAAACACGAAGAGGCAGCTCAACACGGAGGAAAGTCAGGAAAGAAAGGAACTTATGGTGACAAAATACAGGTTAGAGAGAGCCAGGATGGTCAGGAAACATGAGAAATATGTCGCCACTTCCTGCAGTATGCAATGTGTGAAGTTCACTGTGAAGAAAATGTGTATGTTTGTGTGATGAAGCGATAAAGACGGTTTACTAAAAAACAACTAATCAGCTGAATAAAATGCATGAAGCAGCAGAAACTGTTGAAGCCCACAGAAGGTTTGATCCTGAACTGTATGTCTAAAATATTGAAAGCTATATGTGATCTTTTTTCTCCTTTTAAGATAATTTAAATTCTGTAAAATTAGTGTAAAGTTAATGTTAAACACTGTAAAAGAACAGATGTTTTGATGTGAACTGTAGATCATGTCCCTGCTCTCCTTCCCTACATTTTACATCAACTGTCTGTCGAAGGCAAAATATCAACATCCATCCATCATCTATACATCACTTCATCCTCACCAGGGTCATGGGGGGCGGAGCCTATCCCAGCTGACTCAGGGTGAAGGCAGGTTCACCTGGACAGGTAACCAGTCTATCACAGGGCTACACTTAGAGACAGACAACCAAGCACACTCACATTCACACCTACGGACAATTTACAATCACCAATTAACCTCAGCATGTTTCTGGACTGTGGGAGGAAGCCGGAGAACCCGGAGAGAACCCACGCTGCACGGGGAGAACATGGAGACTCCACGCAGGAAGATCCCGGGTGTCCTCACCGGGACGCCGACTGGAGACCTTCTAGCTGTGAGGCCACGGTGCTAACCACTGAGCCACCATGCAGCTCAAAATGACAACAATAATCTAAAAACAAAGCAAATAACGTAGAACCAGCTTATAAAACAAGATGTGTATGATAGTTTATCATATTATAGGAGGTCAACTTATTGGTCAGTTTGCTCTCATCCAACCAAACTCTCACTGGTGGGACAATCTGTCGTGTTGCTTTCATGAGGTGTCGAACTCATCAACAGCCTTCCAGGGTTGATCCAGGATGTCAGGTGTCAAAAGAACCAGACTACCTGTGAACAGCCCCGTGGATTCAGAACTTCACCGAGCGAATGCAGGCTGCTCGGTCCAGCTGATTTAAAATGACTCAGCGTTTTCTCAGATCTCCGTCAGAGAAGACGTCTGTTTTGCTGCGTTTTTGCTAAAAACTGATGGTCAAAAAGTCAAAAGTAAACTTTGCAAACAGCAGCTGATAACTTTCTATTTCCAGAAAGAGCCTGTTTTCGTGGTTTCAGTATAAAACAACCAGCTCTGGGCCGGCTGGCAGGTTTTCACTTGTCGGCAGTAACAAGGGAGGAGCTGTGACAGAGGAGCAGCTCGTCCAACCTCAGCTGAAGGACTAACAGATGGACTGTCAGAGCCACTGTAAATCCTTTGCTGTACAAACACACACACACACTCACACACACACACACACACACACTTACGTCCCGTCCTCGTTGCTCCGGTAGAAGACAAGGAAAGGGTCAGACTTGCCAAAGAAATCCTTTTTATCCAGCTTGTTGGCACAGAACTGCATGGTGGCGATGTCCTGCCAGAACAACAACACATTGGTACCTTACATTACTTTTTTACACATCTTTAAACTGGACTTTGGGTCTTATTTCAGGGTTAAATCTTGTCAGACACCAAATACACTCTGTTGTTCGGCTTGTTTAAAGGACTTGGTTAAAATGAGCCATTTTAAGCTTCAGCTAACAAGGAATCAGTCTGATGAGTGCTATGATGAAGCTTTAAGTATAAATGGTGCATCAGCCCCTACAGAGGACAACAAAGATCAGAAACTACCATTTTGCTTATGACAAAGTGTGACAGAGTGAGGAGCTGCTGCTGCTCGGGTGTTGTGGACTTCTCAGTGTAACACAAACAACACTCAGTCCAGGTCCACCACAAACTAAACAGAACTTTAATGGAAAGTCGATTGTTGCAGGACTTATTTTTCAGTTCTAACAGGCTGTGGACAGTTACTGCACAGAGTTATTGGGTTTTTAGAACAGTTTAAAGCATGAGTTGGGTAAAACAGTGGTTTGTCAGGCTCTGGGGTCCCTTTATCTTTTATTTTAGTTTAGCTTTACACTTGGTGACAAATTACAGAGTTCAAAAATCACTAACATTGAAAAACACACACAAGCAGGTTCATAGAGGCTGTTCTGATAAACGCTTAAAGGAAATTCTAATCCTCAGGGCAGCTTTTGCTTTAATGCAAGACTTCAGGATTAGATATGTGCAGTAGGAAGAAGTGCCTCCCTTTGATTAATGTGAGAAATACTCACCTCAATCAATAATGGTTTAAGGTAAAAGATCCTCCATGTTCTTGTGTTGCATAAATACGTTGAACAACACAGAGCTGTCTGTCTGGAACCATGTCGTTCCTAGAACACCTCCTCTTCTGCCTTCTTTATAAGTTTTAACATTTGTTCAGCACATTGATCAGAGATCTGTAGGTGTGAAGCAGGAATCCCTCCACAATCAGGATGTGAGTGTCCTCCTCGTCCTCGTGGTCGGACTTTGGGACGATCTCGGTATCCAGGCTGTTCTGAACACTGAGACTTCTCTAACTCCACCAGGTTCGCCAACAATGTGCATCAATGACATTGTACTGCTTAAAGCCTCTCCACCAACTTCAGTCTGATGTTGGGGCTTGAAGAAGTCCTCCTGATGGACCACACAACAGGTGGGCAGCTTGTATATCGGTTGGCTGGTTTTCCCTTCATCAGTTATGATGCAGATGCCGACGACGTCGTTCATGTTCTCAGATTATGTTAAAAATGTTAGATAGACAAGATAATGTCCAGGCCTCTCAAACCATCCATCCATCATCTCTACACCTTAATCCTCACCAGGGTCATGGGGGGCGGAGTCTATCCCAGCTGACTCAGGGTGAAGGCAGGTTCACCTGGACAGGTAACCAGTCTATCACAGGGCTACACTTAGAGACAGACAACCAAGCACACTCACATTCACACCTACGGACAATTTACAATCACCAATTAACCTCAGCATGTTTCTGGACTGTGGGAGGAAGCCGGAGAACCCGGAGAGAACCCACGCTGCACGGGGAGAACATGGAGACTCCACGCAGGAAGATCCCGGGTGTCCTCACCGGGACGCCGACCAGAGACCTTCTTGCTATGAGGCGACGATGCCAACCACTGATCCATCTTGTAGCCTCCTCCCAAACCAAAGGTAGTACAAGTGAATAAAGTACCAAAGTCCTTGGCAGCTATATGAGCGTTCCCCTTCACATGCATCCATATGGAAGTGAAGAAGGTGAAACCTAATTCTGTGTATACGTTACAGGAAGCTGCTTCCTCAGTAATCACATCATAATTAGCACCAATGTAATTGCCAGTGTTTGCATGTTAAAGTGCATACCGTGGTGAGCGTGTTCGTGTGTGAGAGTGTGTGTGCTTCCCTCTTTGATTGGAGTGTCTGATTATTTACCCACCGTGGCAAGAACAGTGAACTATGAAACCAGATAAATAATTCATGAGCAGCTCTCGTCGTCACTTTGAAGGAAAAGTACGAACCGACTTTGCCTGATGCAAATGATGAAATTATTCTGAAGCCTGTGTGGTCATTTAAATTCATTTGGCAGAGTTAAAAATGGAAACAGAGTGCGGCTGTCGAGGATTCGGAGCAGAACGCTTAACTTTCTGACCCTGGTCTCAGACTGGACCAGCAGGTGGGTGCGGCTCTGGTCTGGTACTGACCCGGCAGTTACTGAGCTCCTCAGCGGTGAACACGATGCTTCCACACTTCTTCCCAGGAATCCCACTGAAGGAAAGGAGGAGAGGGAAAGAGAAGTTAACCCTAACGGCAAATGTAAAGACGCAGAGATGAACTTATTCCTACGATACAGAACACTGAAGTTCATCTGTACAGACTGCAAACGAGTCCTCAAAGTTACAAATGCTAGTGAGAGAAGTCGCTCTTAATGTTGTATTAATTGTGTTCTGTCCAAATATTTAGAAGGATTGTACTTTGGTGCTTTGCTGACATCATTTCTTCAAAACTTTCATGCCAATTAAACCGCTCTGAACTGAAGTTGATTAAGCTGAGAGGAAAACAAACAAAGACAGTTGTATATGGGACTGGTCTGGGATAATTAGATGCCTCAACACAACGAAATACTGACTTTAAGAAATGAAATACTGCTTGAAAAGAATGGAATTCTTTCCACCAAAAAATGAACAAATATAGAAATAAACAGTCAGACAGTAGCTGCTCAACAGCTGGATGTTGGTGGAACACTCAGGAGAAAGCTGAAGTTTATACAGACACAGTCTGCAATATGTGATCACAATCCATCTGCTCCTTTTGACAAATAATACGTATCTGTTTTTCCAACATCAGGATGGATGTCATGAAACAACCAGTTATGTTAGAAATGATAACAGGAAGGTGGAGCGTGCAGCCACAGACCAGAAATCACAGGTCAGTAACCAGCGTGTCTCCATCACGTAGCGCCACAAATCTGCACCATGGAGGTGTCGAAGCTGCTTGTGAGATGTTGTCCACTGTTTCCAAAGGCTTTACTGAAGTTGGCGGGTATTCTGAGGGACACTGTCGGACATCAACGGATGTCTGAAATGATTTCTGAGATGACAAACGGCGGAGCTGCAGATGTTCAGGTGCCTGGCTGTGGTCTGACTGACCTATCAGCATCCAGCACCACATTCATTCTGTTCATTCATCATCTTTTTACCGTCGTCTGTTGCATCGTGTCATTTCAATAAAGCTTAAGTTGGTTGGACACTGTCTGGTCAAAAGAGTGTCTGCGTATTTAAAAGCACATAAAACCTGCTGCAGATCAACTCACCAGTTCAAAAACTGTTTCTGCAATATTGGCTAAATTTCTAACCTTTTTAAAATGTTTTAAAAAGTCTCATCTGCAAAAATACAAAACTTAATGAAACAGGAAAGAAGCTCACACGTATGATGACAGTCAACAGAAGCTGCTGATGTTAGAGGACTGAACAATGCAGGGATTAAATTAAGCTTTCATTGATTACAGTCATCAATCCCCTAAAAGGGTGGAAAATAAATCGATGAACTTGCTGAAGACAGACAGATGAATACTTTATTCGTCCTCTTTGGGAAATTTAAGGGATCCAGCTGCTCACACATGTTACGTTTAAGTAAAATAAGGAAAATAACGTGCAAATCAGCAATGAAACAGCCTCAACAATCACTTTAGAAGGTACAGACAAACAGAAGGTCAGAACGCTTCGATGTGTTTGTCCTTTCATCTGGAGCAGTTCTTGGTTCCACATTTCTGCGCTTGGGGCAGGAAACCAAACAACACTGAACCAGAACATTTCTTCTTACTCGACCTGAGACTCGTCTTCTAAAAACTGCTCTTCAGTGAAAACCTGTAGTTTGACTCTAATGTTCTTTGGCAGGCCTCCACTACGAGTCACATTTGTTCTACTGTCTGCTTGTGGAAGCAGCGTTTTACAAAGTTTTGGGTGTTCTTTTGTTTTTGCATCAAATCGTTTTGCACATAATCTGACAGCAAAGGCAAGACGCTAAAAATCGGAGGTTAAAATAAGACAATTTCCACCTGCCACTGCCTAACGAGGTTCTAATCATTGGTATCTAATCTAGAACCACTGATTTCAATTTGAAGGTGTGAGATGTTTATTGGGTGTCTATGCAGCTGATTTGTTCTTCTCATTTTCCAAAACTGAAATAAAATGTCAGTTTTGTGTGTCGTTTATTTGACTCCATCGCCTTCATCTGCAGGCTCTGATTCAAAGGGGATTAAATGTTTGTTCCGTCTAATCACAGCCCAGCTCCTGCCTCCTAATTCCTCTCAGGGAAGACAGGACTTCTCATTCAGCCATAAATTATGGAACAATCTTGATAATTGTATCGAAAGTGGATCTGGATTAGAAAACGAGACCTGCAGTCATTCCTCAGAGGGAGATCAGCGGCTACAGCTGGAGCTCTCTGCTGTTTTCTCTGCTACCTTTAAACTGCTGGAGGTGAAGCTTTGTCATGAACTGCCTTTACTTCCTAATAAATGTGCTGCGAACCGGCAGGTGAGCTTTCAGGACTGTTTGCTTCTTCTTCTAAGCTTCTATCTTGTCTCAAGTTTGGTTGTGAAACAGAACATTGTCGAGGTGCAGAAGTCAATTCTGTGGTGCGGATTGAGACAAAACTTCTTCTCTATCAGGAGAATCTTTTAACTTGCAGGAAAATGTCGCCCTTTTCTCAGAGTTGCATGATTTCAGCTCATGAAAAGAAGAATAAGAGAAGCAAGGAGAGACGGAAATAGTGCACAGGCGACAGACAGAATGAGAGCTGAGGAAATCAAACTGAAAGCAAAACAGATTGTCAGTTAATTGTACAAGTACCAGTTATTCTCATTGTGCTTTTTGTTTTTTCTCCCCCTGGGTTTTTTTGAGATCAGTGTGAGCAGTGACACACATGCAGTACTATGATATGTAACTACAGCTCACATTCATGTAAATTAAGCATGAATGTGCACTAGCAGAGTTTAACTTGCTGCAATCTGAAGATATTTGGCGCTCCAGATGCCCTACAGCCCCTTAGTGCTTCATCCACATGCTGTACAGTCATCATGTGTAGCCTGGATGGTAACAGCACATGTGTTGTGTTTGTTTGTGTTTGTTTGTTTGTTTGAGGTGTGAAAAGGTCATTCTCAGTGAAACAAAACTAAAGATTCACAGCTTTGCCAGCAGGTCTTTGAGGCTGAATCTGTGCTGCTCAGAGCTACATGCTAATGTCAGCACGACAACATGGTCACAGTGGCTAACATGCTAACATCCAGATGTTTAGCAGGCACACTGTTCTGCATGTTCGCCTTCTTAGTTTAGCATTTTCATCCCGAGGCCGACGTGAATGTGTGAACCAAATGTCACAGCAGCTCAACCAATCGTTGTCAAGATGTTTCCCTCAAGGCCAGAAATGTGAAGTTCATGTTGGTGCTGGCTGAGTGGTTTGAGCATCATCAGAGTCATCAGGGTTCATTGTGCTGCAGAGATTGTCTGTATTTAGTTGTGTGCCTGTACTTGTTCATGACCAAACAGTCATTTGGATGTGGAGATATTTCAGATCAAGGTGGTGGATCAACCAACCAACTCCTACTGAAGCTAATGGAGTACAGCCTTGTTAGTAGTTTTCAACATGAAGCTCCACAGTGCTGACTGACGTGGTTGTTGTGTGCTCAGTAATTACAATTATCCCCACAAAATGTTCCTATGAACTAGTCCTGAAAGACACTTTTGATTTCAACATATATATTTGATGGCGACATGTTCACCATAGACGTCTGCTTTTACTGGACTGTTCTGGTTGTGGTTCTGGGTGGATTTTTTTTTAAGCTTAGTATTTCCACTGTGTCATGTTTTTCTTCCTCTCTATGTCCGTTCCCAGCCTCTGACTGGTTACGTTCATAGACTGTATAAAAGATGGACGTAGCTGCCGTGACGTCACCCGTTGGTTTCTGCACTGAGAACATGAAGCCAGGGTTTTGCTACTTCCTGGTTGACATCTTGGATTTTTGGAGCCAGTGACGCAAAAATCGTGGGAGGGGGGCGGAGCCATAGGAGCAGCGATTGGTCAGACGGATTGAGAGGCGGGCCCTCTCTGCCCCGCCCACATTTACCGCCTTCTGCTCGCTTCGTCTGTATGGTCGCTGCCGACTGTCAATCAAGCCAGCCACGCCCCTTGCCCCGCAACATGTTGACGATGTTTTAAAAATTCAGTATTGATTTATTTTCAGATTGGCCACCTGATCTCTGGATTTGACCATAAAAACTAATAAAAACAATCCTGAGCTGTAGGAATGCGGTATTTGGTGATCTGTGATCACTTCTTTTCCAATTCCAGTCTATGGGAGCCAGGGCTTTGTGGAGCCAGCAGCTAGTGGACGTAGTGATGCTGCAGGTTTCTGACACTTCCGGGTTGGCTTAATTTTTCAGGGCCGGTTGCTACGTCCATCTTTGATACAGGCTATGGTTATGTTCCAATACTTATGCTACCATACTGTACAGTTGGCCAGAAAATGATTTTCATTGTTTAACTGTCAGTACAGAACGCCAAAAACACCAGATGGTCCTTTTGCTTTTCTTTCCATTCTGACCCACAATCCTCTGCACAACCAAAGATATGTCACATACATGTGTCTCACATACATGTGTCTTGCTCAAGTAACAAGCGTGAGCAAACTGACAGACGATTTCACACCACAGACTGTGATGGACACACGAGCAGGACAGCTGCTGCCTGAAGCGCAGTACGATGACAGAACCACATGTCCAAACTGTGTGCATGCTACCGTGCAGCATTGCATACTTTGTAAGAGCAGCTGTAATAGACACTGAAAGGATAAAGAAAAACCATGTGATGTAGAATGCAGAGATGTTCTGCTCTTCCTGACTGTTTCCACCTGTTCCCAGCTACCTTTGCCTCCCCGGTGGATTTAGTCTTGTGCTTCTCTTTTGGTCTTTGTCAGGTCATTACTGCTACCTGTGTTCATCCCCAGTGTACCTCACCTGTTCTTCATGGCTTTTGTTCCAGTATTTTCAGTTGGAGCTTGAGTAAGTTTTTGCTCCTTTGTTGTATTTTATTTTTATTTTTTATAAACCTCAGCCTGCTGCTACCTTTCAGTACCTACTTGAATAATAGCATTTGAACAGGCTTCCCATAAGGTCTGCTTTTGCTCTCAACACCTGCATCCTGCATCCTAACTACTGAATTTTATACAGATTTTTATTTTACAGTCATGACTTGACATTCAGACCCTC